TGACCCCGGGACACTGCAAACCATCAAAAATATGAACCAGTTGCCCAGCACCTGAATTTTGATCACGTGACCACAGGGATACTGCCACGGTCGTAAATGTGAAAAACGGTCATAAGTCAGTTTTGTCAGTGCTGTTGTAACTTCGAACGGTCACTAAATACACTGTTGTAAGTTGAGGACTATTAATATATGCCGAAGAATGAAGCTCCTCAGATTTTCAAAGAGATATAAATGCTGATTGTCACATAGTACCTAAATGGATCTGAAATTAAATTGACTTACTGCAATTCTAAAAGCAAACAATAACAAGACAGGCCAGACTTCAACCGTCTTGAAGGTCCACCTGCCTTCTTTACATTCTGGAAAGAGGTTGAAAGTGGAAACTCAGCCAACAGCTCAACCTCTGGGCCAGATTCACAAATGGCGTCTCTGAATCAGGCTGTGTTCAGTTCTACAAGGGTTAAGCTGAGCCCCCCACACATCGCACAAAGCCCTGGTTGGTTTACCATGGTTGCCTGGTTCTGCACAGTGTAACGAACAATAAAGCATGATTTGACAAGACAGAAGCTTGGCTCCACCCACGATGCCAGACCAATTCTAAGCCATCCATAGGGCCCAAATGTGGGGTGTGATTTCCCTTTTGTTGACCCATCTTTACACCATTTCCAATCTATTTTGAAGCTCTGAAATTGGATGAACAAACCAAGGTTTATTGCTTTAAGTCATTCCCTAATCTTTTTTTTTTAATTCAAAGAACTCTGCCTATTTAAACTTTAGTTACTCTCCTCCTAACCTGCCAGTTTTGAGAACAAATTTATTTTTCCCCCATTAATGAAAGGAAGCAAAGTTATTCCCTGCTTGTTTTATACCGATCTATTGTGGCATGTCCTGGAATCCAGCTTGTATTTTGGAAAGGCAGATCCTGTTATAGGGACTTCCTTCGGCTGATGGGCAAAAGCCTGGTGATCTTTCAGTTGTGGTATGCAAAGCCAAACACAAACCAGTATTTTCCACCATGGTCGTAATTTTGGCCTGTAATTTTATCACTCAAATCTAAATCCACTTCAGAAACACCATAAACTAATTGTCACTGTATAAACTTAAACTTTGTGAGCGGTTTTGAAGAGTGATTTAATAAAAGGAAAATAAAAAACAAATGTGAGCTGCTTTGGGTTTTTTTGGCAGAACAGAAAATAGCCAAATATTCCTTACAGCGCTGTTCTCTCCTCTGTTTGATTGCAGATATCCAGTATTTTAAACTCTGTAAAACCCAGCAGGATTCACTTATTTTTGGACACAGAGTTAGCTTATTTAGCATTAAGCCACCATATCTTTCTTTCTTTCTTTCTTTCTTTCTTTCTTTCTTTCTTTCTTTCTTTCTTTCCTTCCTTCCTTCCTCCCTCCCTCCCTTCCTTCCCTTTTTTCCTTCCTTCCTTCCTTCCTTCCTTCCTTCCTTCCTTCCTTCCTTCCTTCCTTTTTCTTTTTCCTTGACACAGCAATGTGTCAATTCAAATTTGCATGTCAGAGAGATACGAATTTGTTAATGCTGGGTGAATATTTATCGCTCCACATTAACACTAGGGATTGTTGTTTTGGTTACTCAGCTCTGTTTTCAGCTTGCAAAGCTTCAACCCTTCAAAGCCCATTGGAAGTTTACGTTAGACAATAATCTGAACAACTACCAGTTAGCCTGCTTCGCTTCATTCATATTAAGAAACAATATACAGAGGATATAGAGCGATTAGTTCTGTTTACGCTGGAGAAAAAGGGCTTGAATAGGCGGTAAAAAGACTAGCTCTGCAGAAGCACCAGCCAGCTTCTGGTAATTCACTTATGAATGAAAATTGTTTTTATTATTTTTCTTTCTTTTTTTCTCCCTTTTTGCAAAACTTCTAAGCTCCAGCAAATCTAGGCATGTCAAACAATTGCCATTTCTTACTAACAGTCTGTTCAGCAGTAAATAACAAGAATGAAAGGCCTGAACAAACTCTATCTTACAGCGGGGTTTTGGTTTTTTTTTAGATCTACTCATAAAAATTCATAGGGGATATAAAGGGAAGCAGGTTCAAGCTCTCCCTAAGGATAAAAATTGGACCAAGACCATGAGCTAATCAACAACAGAGCTTATGATTCCAAAATCCTTCTCTTAACCCAGTTTTCTTCTTTAACCTCCAAGCATGGAAGAAGACTTGTATTCAGGGGGTAAACAGCAAGGAGCTTGGTTTTTAATCAATGCTATGGTCTCCTGTCCAGGGGCAGGTACATCAGGATGACTGTGGGCAGAGTTAAATGTAAGAGGTGGAGCCAATTATTCATTTCCTTCACTAGCCCAGAGCTGCTAGAAGATTGAGGGATGGACCGTCACCGTAAGGCCACCTATGTAATAAAATAGCTTTTCTTTCTTGCCGACTCTCACAAATCTCCCACTGGAAGCTTATTGTGAGTGCAAAAATAGGGATTTGCCCCATATATATGCAATTTCAAAGGCTTCAGTCAGAAAGTACTAAAAAAAATTAGAAGGATTTTTTTTATATAAAAAAGTGGGTTTGGTATGAAGGAGCTTCTTCAGTTTATCATTCAGTGGTCAATAGACAAACAGCCCTTCACAAATTTTGTATCTATTCAATCTCTTGTCTTCTTTGGGCTGCCAAAAACCTTCGGAGAAAGACGAGCATTAGCAACATTTCGAGAAGAACTATCACTTTTTTCTCGTTAGGGTTGTTCCATGTCAAAAGAACATTTTTTTTCCAGGTTCTTAGGACCTGCAGCCCCCATTCCTGGTTCGTTTCAGTTGGCTTGGGCAAAAGATAACAAAATAACAGAGTTGGAAGGGACCTTAGAGGTCTTTTAGTCCAACCCCTTGCTCAAGCAGGAGACCTTATACCATTTCAGACAAATGGCTGTCCAATCTCTTCTCTAGTGTTGGAGCATCCACAACTTCTGAAGGCAACTTCTGTTCCACTGGTTAATTGTTCTCACTGTTAGGAAGTTTTTTTCCTTAGTTCCAGGTTGCTTCTCTCCTTGATTAGCTTCCATCCCTTTCTTCTTGTTCTGCCTTTGGGTGCTTTGCAGAATGGGCTAACCCTCTCTTCTTTGTGGCAGCCCCGTAGATATTCAAACATTGGTATCATCTCAAGATATTCCTACTGGATTGTATTCCCCCCCCCCCTTGCCCTGCATCTCCTAGGTGGTGTTCTTAACTCAGCAGCTGAGAACCATCGCTTTGGTGCTCCTTGCAGCAAGGAAGCACATACCAGGTGGTCTCTGTCAGACACCCCTGATTTATGCTCCCTCTGCTCTCTCTTGCACTGCTTTTATTTAGTTAGCGAGAGTTTAGCAGTCCAAAGGTCATGGATCCCTCAAGTCACCAGTGTTTTTGCTGCTGAAAGGGAACAATGTCTTTATAAGGAAAAGGAGGAAGCACGAGGGAGAGCTGGGAGACATTGAAGACACGTAGGCAGGCAGCTAATGCTTGTCTCCACAAAGTGGGGGTGTCACTCTTGGATTCACTTTTCCCATCCTTACTTCTTGGGAGCCCTAAGCTGTTGTCCTCTACAGGTTGTGTCTGTTCTTATGGACATCCTTTATTCCGTCCAAGGGGCATTGTCTATCTCAAGTAGCTTTTTGGCATCTTCTCTCCCTCCCTTGACCTTCAGATCTCATCCCAGGGGACCAACCTCAGCAGGGAGATCCAGGGAAATGGGCAGTTGGGGCAAGATAACAAATGGAAGCAAGTGGACCTTCTAAAATAGACAAGATCAAAAAAAATCCAGAGAGAGAGAGAGAGAAAGAGAGAGAGTTTACACTGGAAGACTACAACTTACATCTGACTTGCATCTGTACAAAAGCTAGTAATATTCTCTGCCAATGTTCAGAAGAGAGGAAGAAAGAAGAATTTTGAAGCAATTTACTCATATTTCCTTGTGTTATTTAGGTTAAATTAATCTGTTTCCATCTGATTTCCTCTCCAGATCCTTTATTTTTTCCACATTATACTTTGCTGTTTTTAATTTGAAGAATTGGATATTGTGTTCAGGTAATACTTCAAAAGGTCCTGGAATTAGTTTAGCTCTAGTGGTTGAGTTCAATAAAGGAAAAACAGAGGAGGTAAGAAAGAGGAGGAGGATAAAACTCTACACAACCAATATTCTTGCTCCTACAACATCCCAAGATAAATTGTCCTATAAATTGATGGCCTTCAGGTCACAAAAAAGTCATTTAGTGACCATTCAAAATCACAACAGCACTGAAAAAGGTGACTTGTGACTATTTTTCACACTGATGACCATTATAGCATCTCCGTGGTCACATGATTAAAATTCCAACCCGGGGGTCACGTGATCCCCTGTTTTGGGACCTTCTGACAAGCAAAGTCAATGAGAAGTCAGAATCAACCATTTTACTTATCTAAGTACTGCAGGGATTCACTTAACAATTATGGCAAGAAAAATGGTAAAATGGGGCCAAACTCGCTTAACAAATGTCTTGCTTAGTGACAGAAATTTGGTCCTTTGTGGTCGTACATTCAGGACCACCCGTACACGTGTTAGTGTCCATTCCCCTCTCACCTGAATTTTGATGCATTTTTTTTCTGCCTCCAAATACAGCAGAAGAGAGGGAAACTATGAAATAGCCCATGACATAAATTTTGTCACATGCTCACAATAATGCCAGGCTTCACATGAAGCCATTGTAAGTTTTGCCAGATGTTTATGATGACTTCTGTGAGCTACAGACCCCTAGACTTCTGCTGCTATTTCACAATTTCTAAATTATATTTTTTATAAAGATTTTATTGGTTTTCTTTTATATACATATGTTAATCTTTGCAATCAACTTCTTGTCTGGGATTAGCTATGCTAATACATGTTTGATTCCTAATCCTTCATTCTTTCCTCCAACCAACAATAAAATAAATCCCAAATTTGGTAGTAGTCTGTATCTTCTTTATCTTTCGGTCTCATAGTTAATCTGTCCATCTCTGCACATTCCAATATTTTCCTCATTATTATGGCAATTCTTCATTCTTCCAGTATTGTGCAAAGATTATTCTCGCTGCTGTAGTAATGTGTAAAATTAAATAAAGACTTTGCTTGTTAATCTTTTCAGGCATTATACCTAGTAAAAAAAGTTCAGGTTTAAAATCAGCATGCTCACCTAATATGTTTTCTAACCACGTATGTATCTTTTTCCAATAAGCCTTAGCTTTGCCACATGTCCACCAAATGTGGTAATATGTGCCTATATTATGTTTACATTTCCAGCATCTATCCGACATATTTTAAAACATTTTTGCTAATCTTGCTGGTGGCAAGTGCCATGTATAAAACATTTTATACAAGTTTTCTTTATATGAAGTTGACATTGTTAGTTTGTAGTTTCTCTCCCATAGCATTTGCCACTTTTTTAATTCTATATTATAGCCAAAGTTTTTCGCCCATCTTATCATTGTTTCTTTATAACTTTTTGTTAATTTTGGAAATGGAAAGCGAACAAGTTAAAGAAACATAATTTCTAGATTATAACTGAGGTCTCCCCCAGCCCAAACTATGGTGGCTAACATTTGACGAAAATACACCCAAATCCTTACTTTAGAGTTTAATTCCAACTCCTCTTGCAGAGGCCACTGGCGTCTCCCGTCCAGCGATGATGCCTTCAGTGTTTTTCTTTCCTTGCAGGATTAAATTAGAGGCTCCCTGGTCTTGGCTGAGAAGCCACGCTTTCTTTGGATGACCTCAGTGCAATTCTTTGTAGCTCAAATGACAGACCAATGCAGCAATTAAGTCTATTTAGTAAGAAGAGGTGAAAGGTCAAACAGTCCAGCAAACCGTCTCTGATGCTTACCTGGGTCACCAAGTCTGCAGATTTGTACAAAGAAAGAACTTGGGATCATGGAGATGTTTTTACAATAAACTGGCAGAGCCTGGTCTGCAGATCTATTCTGTGGCAACCGGAAAGAACTCTGAGGTGTTACTGTCCAACAGTTGGATGTGATCTGTTGGATTGATCCCTTCTTAGAACATTGATTTATTATCATTTACACTGCTTGACGGCTATTTCAGATGGATTTTTTCCTCTTGGAAGGTGAGAGAGAAGCAATTGTGGCCAATACATTTATAAATAAATAAATACACCACCACCCCTCGTTAATGTGCAAGAACAAACACACTTGTTATTTCAACTTAATTATTATTTGTCAACCTTGTCAACCTGAAGATGTCTGGACTTCAACTCCCAGAATTCTGGCTGCCAGGTGAATTCTGGGAGGGAGTCCACACATCTTCAAGTTGCCAAGATTGAAAAACACTTCAGTAAAAGTGCTTGTTTGGCAACTGACATTGCAGTCGGAACTGATTTGGATAGAAACATTCCACTTTCCAGAGTCTCAGCTCTGTGCTTGAACCTTCCACTGAAACCAAACAGTAGCTAGTCCTGTCTTTCAAGCATTGGGCTTCAGTAAAGCAGCAAATGCTGTATGCATATAAATTTTTGAGTCCTGGAGAGTCCATGCTGGCAATGCACTAAAGCAGGGCTTTTCAACCAGTGATACGGATGCCACCTATGGTACATTGGCACCTGGCAGGTGGTACACAACCATCCTAGAAAAGTGGTAACGGGGGAGAGCAATGAGCTGAACCAGCAACTGATTCATATTTATGACAGTCACAGTCTCCCAGGGTCACGTGAAGTGACCAAAACCTGCTGCAACCACCCAGCAGATGGGGAGAATAAAACCAAACACCCCCCACTCCACCCCCGCTGCCAATCCTCAACAGAAATGCTCACAACAATGAAAACCTCGGACAGGAGGAAGAGCGAGGCCGGGTGGGCAGGCAGGTGTCTTGCTCGGCTGTGGCTTAGGGGGCACTTTTTTCAGTGCCATTGTAACTTCGAACAGTCACTAAGCGAACTGTTGTAAGTCAAGAACTACCTGTACTTTATCACTTTTTTCCTTTTTTGGGGGGGGTCATCAAGTTTTTGACACTTTGCTAGGCAACTGGTGGTACTCGGATGTTGCCATATCCTAAAAGTGGCACAATGGGTGAAAAAGTTGAAAAGCCTTGCACTAAAGTCCCTTTTTTGAGCAGATACGATGCTGACATCTGGGACCATTGGATGCAAGTGTCAGTGAGCTCCTGAAAGGAGCAGGACTTGAATTCAGAATAATAGAAAAGAATAACAGAGTTGGAATAGACCTTGGAGATCTTCTAGTCCAACCCCTGCTCAATCAGGAGACCCTATATCATTTCAGACAAATGGCTGTCCAATCTCTTCTTGGACACCTCCAATGTTGGAGCACCCATAACTTCTGGAGGCAGGTCGCCCCACTGGTTAATTGTTCTCACTGTCAGGAAATTTCTCCTTTGTTCTAGGTTGGTTGTCTCCTTGATTACTTTCTATCCGTTGCTCCTTGTCCTGCCTTCAGGTGACTCCACAGTTCTGGCTTCCATCTTCATGTTTTTGACCCTCAGGAGACAAAGAATGAGGAAGGCTTGTGTATTGAGCAAAGTGTAGGCCTTACACTGCACAAAAATAGCTGCACAGTTTTAACAATTTCACCTGTCTGTTTACTGTTCTCTTCCTCTCTGTGGCTTCTTCTCACTTAACGTCTTTGTAAGCCAGTGGCAAGATCTGGCTTGTTTTGCTTCAACAGTGTTTATTTAAAGTAAACACTAGTGGTATTATTATAATAGAATTGATGATAGTAATATTGCAGCTTTTCCTCCAATACGTAAGAAAATTCCTCGTAAGATTTCTTAGGAAACCAGAAGCAGGAGATATCAGAATTTGACTCAGACTTATACACTGTGTATCCTTACATATTCTGGAGGGGTCCCTAGTTATGGTGCCCTTAAAAGCTGTTAAAATGAAAGACACCCACAGGAGTTTGTCCAAACATTCACTGTGAATTCTATCAACAGCCGCCTTCTATGCGTCTCCTGGCCACGTTAAGCTGCAAGGATTGGTTTGGATCAAACGATGGAGATTAAAAGATAAATCTATTACACAGAGTTCCGCCTTTTCAGCCTTCGGGAACTGAAACCAATTAATAATGGCTCTCTCTCTCCCCCCCCCCCTTCGGCCTTAATGCTCTGTTGGGATTCCCATCAGTTTTCTTCATCCTCTAAGCTGGAGCCTCCATCAGCAATCTGATAAATGGAATATACCGGCAAAAGATTCCTGAGCCACCAGAGCTAATCAGATTGATCTTCCCAGGTTCAGCAAGTGTTTTTTTTTCTTTCTTTTTTTTAAAAAAAAGAAGAACAGAAATTCAGCAGAGTTTTCAGAGCAAAGAATCAAACCCCAGATCAGAGGGAGTAGAGATAGGAGAAGGATGACAGAGAGACCAATACCAGATGCCGGTTCAATTTACTGGGAAGTTGTTCTTAAATCAAATTTAAGGAGATGACCTGATGTCTGGGGTTGTAGCTGAGCTCTGAGAACAACAGCACTTTTTTCAGTGCTGTTGTGATTTTGAATGGTCACTAAATGAACTGTTGTAATATATCAGCATGTTATGTTACAGTTTGAATCCAGATCTTTCAAAGGGAGGGATAGGATAGGATAGGATAGGATAGGATAGGATAGGATAGGATAGGATAGGAGAAGAGAAGAGGAAGAGAAAGAGAAAAGAGGAGAAGAGAGGAGAGGAGAGAAGGAGGAAGAGGAGAGGAGAGGAGAAGAGAGGAGAGGAGAGGAGAGAAGAGAAGAGAAGAGAAGAGAAGAGAGAAGAGAAGAGAAGAGAAGAGAAGAGAAGAGAAGAGAAGAGAAGAGAAGAGAAGAGAAGAGAAGAGAAGAGAAGAGAAGAAGCTGACACAGTGATTCTCTTGGCATTAGCGGCCTTCTCTTGCTTAGACGCAAAACTTGTGACTTCAAACTCTTGGTGTGCAGACTACAGATCTAAATTTAAATCTTCATTTACTCGAGTTTCTTTTCTTCCCTTTTAAAATAAGGATGGGAACCATTCCATTTCATATTGTTTCAGCAAACGTGGAGAACTTTGCCTCAGGAAAAAATATCAGGGAAAAAGCCAATTGTACTGTTTCCTTTCAAATTGCAAACGGAGCCAAAATCCCAGCCGGATTGGAGGTGTCCAGCAACCCTGTTGCATAAGGGAGGAAGCTGACGAAGACGTTGCTTGGATCCTGTTCTTAATTCAGTCCAAATGCTCGAAGCTCCAACATTCCAGGTTCTCGATCTTAAGGAAACATGAGGGGGAGGGGAGGCGGGGAAAAAAATGGAAAGCCTTCAAACATCTTCTGAGAACTGGGTATCATTTCAGATCAACCCTTTGGAGACCTTGTCCAGGAGTCGAACCAGGTATGGTCACAGGGACTGAAGCAACGAGATGGGTGGGCCACCATTTTAGTGGTGTTAAAACCATCTTAAGATAAAAATGGTCCTGCGCGGCACTAAACTCCCTTTTAGTGAGTTATGGGAACCAACAGTTGAAAACTTTGGCTGATGACTTAACATCTACTACAGAGCTTCTACCTAACTAACTGAAGAAGCTTCTTGGATGAGAAGTGAAACTTCTTAAAGAAAAATCAGAAATCCCAGTTGCTTTTTAAAAAAGCATCTTTGGGATAATCATGACCTGGGGTGATTGAGAACCTCCGTAGACACCCAAGGAGAGGGAAATAGCCCTATGTTCTGCTGATGCTCTGATAACAACAACAACAACAACAACAACAACAACAACAACAACAACAATAATAATAATAATAATAATAATAATAATAATAAAGTTGGAAGGGACCTTGGAGGTCTTCTAGTCCAACCCCCTGCTCAGGCAGGAAACCCTATCCATTTCAGACAAATGGCTATCCAGTCTTTTCTTAAAAACTTCCAGCCTTGGGGCATTCACAGCTTCTGGTGGCAAGTTGTTCCATTGATTAATTGTTCTCACTGTCAGGAAATTCCTCCTTAATTCTAAGTTGCTTCTCTCTTTGGTTACTTTCCATCCGTTGATTCTTGTCCTGCCTTCAGGAGCTTTGGAGAATAGGTTGACGTTCACCTTAGCCCAATGTGTCCATTTTTTAAAACACAAGGGAGGGAACAAAGCACAACGAACTTTTGCTACTGTGTTGTTGGGGAAGAAGTTGCTGAATTTAAGCCCAGGGTCTGTAAGGCACTTCCAGCTGCAGAGGGTCCCTCGGTGGCACTGGGCTGCTTCAAGGCCACTCTTCTGGATGCCCGAAGCGTGGGAGGAAGTTGTGGCTGCTGGCTGGAGGACCAAGGCATTGTGAAGCTCTGCTGTCCCTGGTTGGCAATGAGTTTATGAAAGGGCCATTTCCTTTTCTAGCTGACCTTTGGTTTCCTCTGGAACCTGGAACTGACCTGCCCCAAAGGGAGCGCTCTGCGCAGGGAAGCCCCCTCATCCAAGCCGCTCCTCTTCCCATAAACTGTGGAAGTCTTTGGGGAGGAAAGGCATCCTTGGGGCTGAGCCAAAAGGAAGAGTCGTGGAAGTCGAAGGAAGGTCAAGAAGCAACCAGAGAGAGTCACACAGGAGAGTAATTTGAGGTGGATTACAGCGAAAGAGCTACAACATGTTTAGGAAATCAGGGCTGGGCCCTGTCATCTCACAAAGCCACAATTGCTTTAACCATGATAGATTGGAGAAATCTTAAGTGCCCGGGTTCAAATATCACACGAAACCATAAAACAGAGGCTGCCAACTCCCAAAACAAGCCAAAAGCCAGATAGTTTATGATCCTAACCATTATATTTAACAAGCTCGTTTGCCTTCCTAACTCATGGAATCATATGACTAAATAAAGATAT